AGGAGTTTGAAACCAAGCGCTGGCCAATATGGCGAAACCTAGTCTCTACTAAAAATACAAAAAAAAAATTAGCCAGCCATCAGTGGTGGGGCACCTGGTAATTCCAGTACTCAGGGAGGCTGAGGCAAGAGAATCGCTTGAACCTGGGGTTGGAAGTTTGGAGGTTGCAGTGAGCAGAGATTGTACCCCCACTGTACTCAGTCTGGCGCGACAGGGTGGGACTCCATCTCAAAAAGAAAAAACAAAAAAAAGGAAACCACTTACTGTTATGTTTTCAACTCACTTCTTGGGAAATGTATTTTTCTTATTTTCAAATTTGCGACTTTATGTAGGCTATTGGGTTAGGTAAAATGTGGTCACTGAATTGGAAACCACAAACTCAAATGTTTGGTAGCGGTAGCAGGTATGTGTATTACGTGTATGTTTATGTGTGTGCATGCGCGAATTTGGGTGCAACAGCTGGAAAGTTTATTTGCTGCCTTAATTTACAATCTTTTACATTTATAAAACTTAAAGAAAACATTACTTATGTTATTTTTATCAAACAACTCAATAATTGCACTGGTTTTTTATGTGTTGATCTAGGGGTCACTGGTGATGATAGTGATCTATTGTAGAGCTTTTCGCTACTCAGGTAAGTCAAATTTTTAATTCCTATTGTATTTGCTATGAATATATGAAATTTCTTTCTCATTTCTTGGGAAGAGTTGCAATAGTTTTCGAGGTGTTGTTTAATGACATGAATTCAAGAATATGTTCGCAATCTTTTAATAGCCTCTCTCTCTCTATAATGGCGAACTATACACGCCCACACCTTGTGAGTTTTCAAAACTTCAACAACATCATACTCGATTGGTGTGACCTGACTACACCTGCCCTCTCGGCCCCCAGTGCTCTGAGAGCCAAAGCAGGGGATCACCTTGAGGTCAGGGAGTTCAAGACCCAGCGTGGTAACATTCATGAAACCACATCTCTACAAAAAAAAAAAGTAGCTGGCATGGTTGCTCACGTGTGTAGTCCTGGCTACTGTGGCTACTAGGGAGGCTGAAGTGGGAGGATGGCTTGAGCCCAGGAGTTTGAGGCTGCAGTGAGCTATGATCATGTTTCCTGCACTCCAGCCTGGAAATAGACTGAAAGCCTGTCTCAAAAATAAATAAATAAATAAATATTACACACACATATATACATACATGTGTGTATATGTATTTTGTGTGTATATGTATGTATGTGTGTGTATGTATACATACAATACAGTCACTGTTTTGTTTGTAAAATTGCCTTTAGTTTATATGGTAATATTAAACATACTATATTTCCTTAATTCTAAGCCTGACATTTTTCACATTTTAACTTTTTGGAAATTAGAATGTGCCTAAAAATATATATCATATATATGTTATATACAGTCATTCCTTGGTATTTGTGGGAATCGGTTCCAGGAAAACCCCCACTTGGATACCAAAATTCATGAATGCTCAAGTCTCTTATATAGGGTGATGTAATATTTGCATATAAACCTATGCCCATCCTACTATATACTTTAAATAATCTCTACTTTACTCATAATTCCTAATACAATTTAAATACTATGAAAGTAATTGTTACACTGTATTGTTTTGGGTATAATTACAAGAAAAAAAAAGTCTGTACATGTTCAGTACAGATACAACCTTCATAAGCCTAACTACATTTTCAATCTGCAGTTGGTTGAATCCACAGAGGAGGAACTTACAGATACAGGGGGCTGACTGTATATATACACATACACAGACATTTAATATCGAAGAATTTCTTTTTTAACCCCAAAGCTAGTATTAAGTTGGTGATATGACTTATAGTGTCTTAGCTCATACATTCTTGCTCTAAAAGGAGTCCATACAAAGTTTAGTGGGAGGATTATGGAAGAAACCCCTATTTCTATCTGTGAGAGTTAGGAGAAAGGATTTGAGAGATGTAGAAGTTGCCCAGTGAACATGTGTGGGAATTTTATGCAGAGGGAATAACATAAGCGAAGACATATGAGAAAGAGAGGGGACATGCTATATTTCAAGGAGTATACTGTAACATTTAGATGTTCTATAACATGAACCACTTGAAAACCATTAGACTAGCTCAAACTGGACCTTTCTAATATCTTTCTTAACTACCCCTTCTCTTCACACAGTAGTTCTCAAACTAAACTCTCATGAGGGGCTTCAAAAAAATTAATGCCTGTGTTCTGCCCCCACAGGTGGTGATTTAATTAGTCCAGGGTGTGGCCTGCACTTTGGATTGCAAGTTCCTCATATGCAGGGATCAAGAAACACTTGAGTGCCTACTTGGGAAGGCACTGTGCCATGAAATAAAAAGGCATAGCCTTTCCCTAAAATTGCAAATAATATAGAAGGTAGACTGTCAAGCTTTCAGACTTTTTCTACAATAGAAAAAGGAAATTGCCTTAAAAGAAACATATACAAAGTTTATGAGAATACTGGAGAAGAAGGCATTTTGTCTGTCTATGATTAAGATGGCAGAGGTTAGGGAAGTCTTCGCAGAAGAAGGGTTTGAGCTAAGAATTTGCCATGAACAAACAATGAAAGGGGGTGTTAGTGTAAAGATATATAAAAAAGCATAGTGTGTTCTGGAAACTGAATTCTTCAGCATCCCTGGAATGTAGTATGAGGCAGAGAGTTGCAAGAAATGATGTTGGACAAGAAATCAGAAATCATATGTCATCTAGAACTTTATCTCTCTTTTACAGTATCTGGTGTAAAAGAGATCAAGAGCCATTCAAAAATTTGGAGCAAGAGAATAAGATGATCATATTACAAGTTAGACAATTCCTCTGGCAACAGAGTGGATGAAAAATTGAAGGGATATGTGACTGGGTAAAGAAAATCGGTAAAGAGACTATTACAATGGTCAGGTACAGAGTGAATGTCTGATTTGGAAAGTATCAATGGGGCTGGAGAAGGAAGGGATATGGAGATATTTAGAAGAGAGAATGGACTTGGTAGTTAAATAGATGCCAAGGAAAAGGAGTGGGAAGAATTAATGATAGGAATATAGAGAAAGGCAGTGGTCTGAAGATGGGATAAGGGTAGAAATGATGAGTTTGGTTTTGGATGTGCTAAGTGTTTATGGGAACTGCAGTGGAGCTATCCATTAAATGCTTAAATATATGGAAAAAGGTCTGGGCCAGACATAAAATTTCAGAATCATTGGAGAATTAATAAGTGTGAATTAGCTCTGGCCAGGAGGAGTTTTAGGAGTAAGGAGGAAGCCAACAACTCAGCATTAGGAACTTACTACATTTGAGAGGTAGGGAGAAGAAAAGGAGGCAGCAAGAGAGTGACCAGAGAAGTTGAAGGCTAGCCAGGAGATAATGGTAGCACAAAAACCAAGAGAAGGGAGATCTGAACAAGGAAAGACTACTGTAAAGAGATCCCAGAATATTTGGATTGAAAAGCACTGTGGATAGTACACATTTTCCCTCGTCTCCATTTTCACAGTCAAGGATCCAGTGTCTGTAGTCTCACTCCTCACCACTGCTTCCAGGTTATATCATTTCACATGCAGGTGTTGCCATCCATTAACCTCTGGCTCATTTTCCCCCAGTCACTGAAGACTTTGGCCCTGGCTCACTACAGTCCCTTTTCGTGACTGGTTTTAGCATCTGTGTGGAGAACCCTTTTCATTCTTTATGATCTCGCTCAGGACAGTTCCACCTGTGAAATCTTAAACTCCCATCCTCCTCTTGGACCAGAAACCTCTTATCCTTTTAATTCTTACACTCCCTTACTGCTTGGACTCTTCTGGGTTCTCCAAATAAGAAGACCCTTCCAGTTTTAACTTTCTTTCGTATCCAGCCTAGTTCATCTGCACTTCTTTCCCTTGCCAGCAATTTTAGTCCCTTTCTCCACCGTTTCTCTGTTGGTGAAGGTGGAAGCCAGGATGACTTCTGGGGAAGAGCACCAAGACCAAGGGAGGATGAGTATGTTTGTTTATATCCTGGTCGGGCAAGAGAAGCCAGTGAAGAGTAGGTTGTTAGAAACAAGAAAATGTAGGAAAAGTGGGTAGAGCAGTGTCTTGAGATTTTAGCAGTGATTTTAGCAAAAAGATTTTTAAATTAGTCCTTGACTGGAGAAAGGATTCTTTTCTTTAAAATAGTGGAGAAAGAAGGAAGTATGGATATATAGATAGAAAACTTTTTTGGTTGGGGCAGGACGTTGAGAAGTTCCACTTGATAGTGAGGTCATCTGATAAGAGAAAAGAGAAGTGAGGATAAGAACTTAAGATGAATGGTGAAGATTTGAAGTAGCTGCCTAGGTGACTGCAAGAAGATGCTGACTTCTGTCTGTGGGATATATAACAAAGGAGCACGCAGCTGTGGTAGAATATCATCAATATGTAGTGGCACCATAGCTGAGAAACATGGCTTTCCCCAGTAGCACTAAGCAGCTGGGTTGCAGGTGCAGAAAGGAGATGACCGGCTGAATTTATCCATCATTGCAGTTTGGCTGGGATGGGTAACAGAAATGGTGGAGAAGGGGATTAAAATTGCTGGCAAGAGAAGGAAGTGCAGGGAACTAGGCTGGATACGAAAGAAAGTTAAAACTGGAAGGGTCTTATTATTTGGAGAACCCAGAAGAGTCCAAGCAGTAAGGGAGTGTAAGAATTAAAAGGATAAGAGGTTTCTGGTCCAAGAGGAGGATGGGAGTTTAAGATTTCACAGGTGGAACTGTCCTGAGCGAGATCATAAAGAATGAAAAGGGTTCTCCACACAGATGCTAAAACCAGTCATGAAAAGGGACTGTAGTGAGCCAGGGCCAAAGTCTTCAGTGACTGGGGGAAAATGAGCCAGAGGTTAATGGATGGCAACACCTGCATGTGAAATGATATAACCTGGAAGCAGTGGTGAGGAGTGAGACTACAGACACTGGATCCTTGACTGTGAAAATGGAGACGAGGGAAAATGTGTACTATTTTCTCAAGAAAGCTGCACACACAACAATTTTCTTAGATTTCAGAAAGTCAGAGGAAGCAGGTGTGCTTACAGAACATACAACTGGTGTTCCAAAAAGCAGAAAACCCAGGTTTGGGAGGGAAGATAAGCAGTAATGCGGCAGATGAAGAAATGTAGAAATGATAGAAAGTGGCTTATATTGTCTCGTAGATTTGTGGGATCATGTTCATCATACCTTTGGATATAAAAGGATATTATAAGAAATTAAAAGAAATAGCTATATTATTCTGATTGTAAAAAGATGTATTTACCAAGAAAATTCATACAATATGAAAAGTATATGGTAAAAAAAAAAATCACCTATAAACCATCGTAGGGGACATATATATATACATGTATTAGTAAAATTATAAAAATTGTACATGTATATATATGTGTGTGTATATGTAAATATATATATATATATATATACACTGAGAGAGAGAGTTTTGTTTTTTTTTTTTTTTGCTTTTTTTTTTCTTTTGCCAAGGCTGGAGTGCAGTGGTGCAATCTTGGCTCTCTGCAGCCTCCGCCTCCCAGGTTCAAGCTATTCTTCTGCCTCCGCCTCCCGAGTAACTGGAATTACAGGTACGCACACCACACCCAGCTAATTTTTGTATTTTAGTAGGGACGGGGTTTCACCATATTGGCCAGGCTGGTCTCGAACTCCTGACCTCATGATCTGCCCGCCTTGGCCTCCCAAAGTGCTGGATTACAGGCGGTGAGCCACACCGCCCAGCAGAGAGAGATTTTATATATAAATCATTTATATAATGATCAATGTATACCATATAAACATGATTTTAATGATTTTATTAAATGATTAGAGTGGACTTAATCATGCTAAGAGGTCATTGGAAACCTCAGCAAGAACAGCACACATATATGTATATGTGAATGTGTATAAAGGATCAAATTATGCAGGCTGTTTTGTAATATCTTTCATGTAAATAATCATTCAATGTAATAAATCTTACTTGTTAGTGATGGCTATATAGGTTCTATCTCGTGGAAATACAATTTATTGGCTAAGTGCAATGGCTCAAGCCTGTAATCCCAGCACTTTGGGAGGTCGAGCAGGTGAATCACCCAAGGGCAGAGTTTTGAAGTTCGAGACTAGCCTGGCCAAAGTGGTGAAACCCGCATCTCCATAAAAAATACAAAAAAATTAGCTGGGTGTGGTGGCATACGCCTGTAGTCCCAGCTACTTGGGAGTGATGA